CAGTTTGCTCCTGAACATCCCTTGAAAACGAAAATCATTGACAACCTTGCCATCGGGTTACTGCGGTGGCACCTTCTACCAGTTGGGCTGTCTCTGGTATCTGTGGATCGTACAGAGACGGACAGGCTGGAAGGGAGTTTTGACTTTTTCGAAATTGAGCGGGATATGGCGCGGTACTGGGGTTCAGATTCTTCCTGCAGTTTCCTTTTACCAGTCAAAAGTGTCAGCGTTTCGTGGCTTATGCTGTATTTCATGCACAGTTCGATTTATGCGGAGTTTTTTGGTGTCAGAAGGGGACTTTTGTGCTGCAAAGGAGCTGAACACAAAAAAGCATCGATGCAAGAAAAACGATGCAAGGTATCGAAATACTTTTCCTATAAAGTGGCCTTGAGCTTCCTCGTTGAGCACGGAGGAAGCTCAAGGCCACTTTATAGGAAAAGTATGCAAACTTGAGACAAGTTGTCAGAAACTTGCGCATATCAGGCCGGATACACGCCCGGTATTCATGAGACGTTGCCTCCTACTCGGAATAGTCGGGTCATCTCGAATTTGTAATTTAGCTGTCCAGCACTGCAGCTGCTAAGTTCTTCAGTTGCTTTGGCCATTGCTGCAGCACCTGGTGCTCAGTCTGTAAGGGGATTCGTTTCGTCTTCTGAAGGGATTACTAGTCCGATGATTCTTCAAAAGGCACGGCATTAATTGTTTTGAGATGTCTTTGATGTGCGCTGAGGAAGACTGTCATGTTCGAAATGTTCCCACTTCGAGACTATGGTAAAGCATATTGCTGATTAGGTTCTGCCACATATTTTTATGCGTTTTTTGCAGCTATGCAATGCAGAAAACGCATATTGACGAGAGGTTGTCTGTGTGTTCGTGTGTCTGTGTGCCTGTGTGTGCGTCTGTCACGCACTTTCATCTCCGGACCTATAAAAGCTGCGATGTGTCTGTGTGTGCGCTGGGCCTCTGTATCGGTTTTTCATCTCGAGACCGGCAAAAGCTACGGAGCTGAAACTTTGGGGACCTGTGCGTCTGTGTGTCTGTGTGTTCGTCTGCACCGATTTTTCATCTCGAGACTGGCAAAATCTACGGGGCTGAAACTTTGGGGGCATAATCTACATGCACGTACGGGCCCCCATCCCCAAAATTGGTGCCAAAACCCGTGTGGTACCCGCGCACGGGTTCGCCAAAGTTTTTTTGGGGTCAGTTCATAATTCGAGGATCTGAGAAGCTAGAAGGCTGAAATCTTG